TTACCTATCAAACAACATTTTTTTTAGAGTAAACACCCTTTTTGGTTCCTGGCAATATCTATGAAATTCTTTTTAGTCCCTGTCAATAAAAAAGGACCAAATTGGTCCCTAAAATTATGAAAAAAGGGCCACGTTAGTCCTTATGTCAACTCCTCCGTCACTAATGTGGCCCTTTTTTCATACTTTTAGGGACCAATTTGGTCCTTTTTTATTGCCAGGGACTAAAAAAGATTTCGTATATATTGCCAGGGACCAAAAAGAGTGTTTACTCTTTTTTTTAATTTTCTTACCAAAATCACTTTCCAGCAATATGCTTAGTAGTTGTATTTTTCTGGTAAATTTTTTTTTCTCCTCTACCAAACGCCCCCTTAAAGTATTTTTTAAGTTTATTAATAGCATGATTTGATGATTTAAACATACTTAAAAGAATAAAAGATGTTTGGTAGAGAAATTTTTTTAGATTTCCAAAAAATTGATATTGAGAATACTATTTACTCACATTTGGTATAAGAATGGTGAAAATTTTCGTGAAAGGATTTCAATTTGTTAGACAAAATACCATCAAATATGTGGCATGAGTATTCCTGGATCCAGACACATGGGAAAATATCACACAAAAAACTGACAAAAGTAACCCTATATGTGACATGCCCTCTTTGTTGAGATATAAAGTCCCACATTGATTGGATGGGCAACTAATATGACCTTTATAAGGTCTTGGGCACTCTCACCCCTTGAGCTAGCTTTTGGGGTGGTGTATCCCAAGATTCTTAACATGGTATCAGAGCCTCACCGTCCCCCGCTTTAAAAAGTGGAATTAAAATAAATAAATAAAAGCACAAAAAGGTAAACCAAAAATGAGCCTGTGCAATTTTCACGCTTCTAGCCTAAAGGGCTCTTGCGTGAGGGGGCGTGTTGAGATATAAAGTCCCACATTGATTGGATGGGCAACTAATATGACATTTATAAGGTCTTGGGCACTCTCACCCCTTGAGCTAGCTTTTGGAGTGATGTATCCCAAGATTCTTAAGACTCTTCACCTTCCTCATCATCACTTGTCTCACGCCTCCTCCGCATTGCTAGCAATCTCTTAGCCTCTTCGGGATCATTCTCATACTCAACGCCTTATTAACCTGCGGTAGCCATCAATAGCCCCCACCCTAAAACCTACACTCAAACACCAAAAGCTTCTCAATCAAAAGAGAATGAGACAAAAAAAATTAAAAACTTTCCCAGGAACCAAACACCAATTGAATGAAAAACTTTTATTAGGAGTGGAAGGCCAAGGTTGTTGCGAAACCCTAGATACTTTTAGGAGATATTTAAGATTTAAGGCCCGTTTAATACGGCAGGATTCTCGGAGATTCTTGGGAAACTGAATTTTTTAAAATTTTAATTTTCAGATATTATCGTAAACTGAATGTGAAAATAATTTGAAAATTGAGATTCCCGGATAAAAAAAAATTCTCCTCTACCAATTCTCGGATAAAAGTATTAGATATTTTCAGATACTTTTAGAGCGTTATTCTGTTGCGTTGTCGTTAGCAATTGAAACTCAAAGACGAAGAAACAAGAGTAAAGGCTTGAAGAAAAGAATAAACATGGGTTATTTTTGTAAAATTATCCTACAGTAATATTTGGCAATACCAAACATACAATCGCTAAATTTGAGTTAATATTGTCAGTATTATTTTGGCCTATTAAATAATTTTTTGATCACATTCTTTAAAAATTCACTTTCCTAACATATTTCTGAGAATCATAATTTTTGGGCAAAAAAAAAATTAATCTTCTGCCGAACACATTCCATGTGAATTAAGATAACTAAATCCTTCATTTTATACCAATCCTGCTTAGATTTCCTTTATATAACATTCGTAAAGTATTATTGTCAAAGTAGTTATCGAATTTCAGATGCAAAAGGCGCGAAAGTTTTATTACATCAACAAGCTTCTACCTTAATCGACTCGCTCAAGTCTTTAAAATTTGGATGTGATAATATTGTTGGAGGTTTAATCTTTTACGAAACCACTTTTACACTTTCCCAACTAAAGTTTGATTTACCGGATGCAAGTGGACAGTAAGTCGAACTGGCAAAATGAGTTCGACTCTGCGGGCTAACTTATTCCACCAATTAAACGGGATGGAGTGAGCTGAGTTTTTTCAACCCATCTCAAAAGTGGAGCAGAATGGGATGGGCTTATTTTTTGGCGAACCTAACTAAAAGAATAGGGTTTTGATACGAGAACTTTATATCATTCCTATATCATAGACATGGATATAGGAATATTTTCTTTCCTTGCCTACCCAGACAGAGGCGGATCAGTATAAAATAAGTTCGGACTGGGCGAGTCGGCCAAACGGGAGACAGAATGGACATAGAAAAGCGGGACAGGACGGAGTGGAACTGACCGCCCACTTTGCCACCTCTAACCGTATGAAATTTTCAACATCATGATGGTCCTCCCATTAAGGGAATGACACATGGTTTTTCTCTTCTTTTTTTTGTCCCTTCTCTCTTTCACTCTCTCTCCTCCGCCCCACCCAATCCCTTGTGAGTGGAGAGCACCAAATTTCATCTCCTAACCGTAAGGAGAAAATTTAACACAAATTAAGAAAAATCCTTCACCCCTTCGCGTATATTATACTAAATTTTCAAAGCCAATGGTCCATTATTTTGATTAAATAATAACAATCAATCATCTGTTGAAATGATGCTCCATGCAAGCTAACTTGGACTTTTGTGTGGCCCTGCCTTCACATTGAGTCGAAGCGTCAACAAACTACAAAGTCTTAGCCTTCTTCAGAAAGAAGAAAACTACTATTTCACAACCCTTGTGAGAGTTCTAACCTTTTTTCTTCATTTTCAACTTAAGGTACGTACTATTAGTTTACGCAAGAATCTAACCCAAGAGAATGGCCAATGGCCAAAACTTTTTGGGACCATATATTCATTCCCTTGACCAAAGACAACTCACTAATATGAATATGAACTGGTTCGTGCATGTTTGAACAATTCAATTGTCATCGTAGCATCGCTCTCTCTCTCTCTCTCTCTCTCTCTCTCTCTCTCTCTCTCTCTCTCTCTCTCTCTCTCTCTCTCTCTCTCTCTCTCTCTCCTTCTGTGCATTACGTCTGGATAAATAGACATCAAGAATATGCGCTTATTGAAGACAACAAAGCATAGTTAATGGCTCTGTCGGAAACAAAGACCAAACTCCGGATAACACGAAACTACTTTCTCTTGTTTCCTCCAGCATTTTGGCTACGTAGAATGAATGCATTATCCTACACAATTCTACATTTCGCTTCAAAGTTTAAGAGACTCTGTGGTTCACTTAATTTATAAAACATTTAGATAATTGGCTTATAAAACGAGCAAAGACTTTCATGCAAAAAAAAAAACTCTTTCATTTCAAATGAGACACATAAATTTGAAAGAATAAACAAGTCAATCAAAGTGTTTAAATTTTTAGGACTACTTAGAAATACTATATCTTAATTTTATATTGTATTCTTTTTTTATATTATACGTCGGTTAATCGATTACTTGATTAGTTCAATTCGAGATGGGTAGAATCACATGTGCGACAAAGCTTTACCTACCAAGTTTTTTATTCTTTAAAATAATATGAATTGTTTTGATTTATCATTGCACAATTAGTATTTTCTTAGGATCCGTTTATAAACTTTTTTTGCAGATTACACTAAGTACGACCGGTCGTACACTGCATGATTAAAGTATGACCGGTCGTACTTAGTGTAGTTTGTAAACAAAAAAATTTGTAAATATAACATACCCCTTCTTGGATTATTGAATTATTGTTTACTGGATATGTATAGTAAATTCAATTATAAATTGTACGGGAAATACCGAGCATGATTAAACATATGTACCATAAAAATCTCAAAATAATAATATTATTTGTAGGAGAAAGTTATATTTACAAATTTTTTATTTACAAACTACACTAAGTATGACCGGTCATACTTCAATCAAGAGTGTATAACCAGTCATACTTAGTATAATTTGTACAAAAAAAATTTAAATGGATCCTTCCACTTATTTGTATGATTCACTATTCATAAGTCAATATAACAGTAAACAATCTAATAAGTTAATTACTCTTACTTAAATTTTAGTTATCTTAAGTAAAACTCTTTATTTATTTACCTCTTTTACGTGTGCAAGACATCCTTAGCTGTATAAATTGAAATTTTTTCCAGATATTATTGTTGTGGTGAAAATTATCTCTCTTGCCTTTTCAAGAACTAAAATCCCAGCATGGAAATGGAATTCACTTAGTGAGATTTTCATATATTCTTTTCAAGTGATTTTTTTTTATCACTCTTCATTTCTTAACTGAACTCCTCCTATTAATAATATACGAAAAGTGAAATAAATACAAAAATTTTATATGACTGAAAATTTCAAATGAAAATGAAACATATATACAAAATTTGTATATAATGATGAAAATCTCTCGTGAAAGGATTCATAATTCCGTTTTGAGTCATTCGGTTTCAGGTCAAATGTAATGAAAATCACAGTGCACTGTACTCATCCATTTAAACTACAAATATGTAGCTACTTAGTTCTTAGGGTTCTTTCATATAGTTATAGCCCCTACTTGCCAATGAAAGGGAAGTACATCCATGTAACATACATCATATCGAGCTACTAAAATTCGGGAAAAAATAATTAAAAAAAAATAGAAAAAATATTTATCATTTTAAAAGATATAATTTTATGTAATTTTAAGTAAAACTAAGTGTTTTAATAGATTTCTACATATATACAAGAATATCTCTTTCTCTTCCCTCCTAATTTTGTAAATTAGAGAGAATATAAATAACCTCTAAATATGCATAAAAATTTCATTTAAAATAACACAAAATTATATTCTTTAAAATTACAAACACTTTTGACAGAAAGGAAACATCACAACCTTAGTCCTGCCCTTAGTTCTGTTCCTGCAGAAAAATATGTAAAGAAGAAATATAATACAAGAAATCTTTGTATTCCACATCACCATCCTTGATGTCCATGTATATATGTTCTCAACTCAACAACGAAATTGCAAGCAACAAGCTATTGTATTCCAAAATCAAACATATATGAATATATACCATCCTTGAATAGCTTAAACGGATGCATATAAACCTGCTTGTATGATGAAACTATATTCTAGCTAATAGTCCTTCCAGAAGATGCTGATCCACTTCCAGATCCATACGTGTGACGTCCTTCATGCTGATGCCCCATCATCATCATCATCATCATAGGAGATGGCACACCATGACCATAACCCTCACCACCATCATTCCCATCATCACCCTGTGGCCTCCCCATGATAGCAGCAGTAGTAGTAGTTATCTTCTCCCCTTCCATCTCTCTATACTTGTGAAGGTAAATCTTAAGAGGACCCACATACTCTTCGAAACCCAGTGTTGTCATGGCCCACAATAGATCATCACCGTTGATTGTCTTCCTCTTCTCTTTCTGGCACTTATCAGACGCTTCCCCTGTTATGAAGCTTATAAACTCTGACACACACTCTTGCACTGTCTCTTTGCCTTCCTTTGAGACCTTTGCGTTTGCTGGTAAAGCCTTCTTCATGATCCTGCTCACGTTCGCTATGGGAAGGAACCTGTCTTGCTCTCTGCACCCTGTTAATTCATTGTTTCCACTTCCGTTGTAATTACCTCTTTGACCTCCTGACTCATTATCAGATTCAGCCATAACCCCTCTCACACTCAAAGTATATATTTAAGAGATGTCACCAACAAATTGCACCCTTATAAATTATATATATATATGTATGGATATATACTATAAACACAGACACTTCAAAAAATCTGACTTATAATAACTCACTGACACTCTTCGATACTCCGACACTCCCGACACTGCAACATTTGTTGCAAAAGACTAAAAAAAAAAGGTTAAAGTTAAGGTTTCAAAATGGAGAGATATGAATAAGGAAGGTTGGAAAATGGCGGGTTGGAGTGGGAGAAGTTAGTAAGTGGGGTAGTTTGGTTTGTGTGTTGATGTGTATATATAATTGTATATGGGTTGCATTGGAGGGTTAAATTAATTAAGAAGGTTTAAGCTATTTCGAGTTTAATTATTTTTAATTATTATGGTCTCTGCTTAGGAGACGTGGATTATTTGGGGTCGTGCGTGTGAGTAATAGTTTATTGACGCGTATGTTTGATGTTAATATTGCGTTGAATTGGTAATAACTTGGAATTAAAGCATTCACATTGAATTGAAAAGGAGTAAAGGCCACTCAATGCTCTTTTGCCGAGTCTTTAATTTGGACACAGCAAATTTGTCAAAAGTTGTAGCATTGGGCCTAACATTACTCTTATCAATCTCAGCCCAAATGGAGTACCCAGAGCTAGACGATTCAGACACAGCAAAAAAACTTAATCAATAGTTTATAAGATATTAAATTAAATTGTAGATACGTTTTAAAATTCATAATTAAAATAAAAAATTATCTATTTAAAATTTAAAATATTATATTGCACTAAATAGACACTAATTCATTCAAGCAGCATAAAAGCAAAGATATATCATTTCGATAAATTCAAACGTAAATTACTCCATTTTGGTAAAAAAAAAAAATGGAGTTATATATAAGTTATGCTTTCTGTCGCTGACTCTTTTACTCTCTTTTTTTATTGCTTTTTTTTTTTTTTTGGAAACAAAAACATTTGCTTAGTTGTTATATATTTGGAGAAAGGTTATACTTATTACATTTTTTTCTTACTACTTGTTACTATCAAATCTTAACCGTTGATTTCTGCCAATTTAAATGTTATAATTTATTGGGTCATATTTATTAATTAATTATTAATTCTGGTAAATTATAACTGTTAGATTGACGGAAATCAATGGTTAAAATTTAGTAGTAACAAGTAGTAAGAAAAAAAGGTAGTAACTATAACCTCTTCCATATATTTGTATTATAAATTTATGTAAATGTTGTATATATATCGTGTCGTACGGTGGACTAGTCGTTTTAATAAGTCGGATTTCTGAAACACGGCAAGTTTCTCGTTAGAGACTTGTACCATACATGATCTTATAATGTAGCATCCCCTCCTTTCTTTAACAATTTTTTTTTGTCTCATTTTGCTATTTGAGTTAGATACGGAGAAGTAATCTATCTATTTATTCTCCTTGCTTAACTGAATGGAAGTCTAACTTATAATTTTATGTTAGTAAAGAAGATTAAAATAATTTGGAAAGAGAATTTCAGTTGTAGTATTACCTTAAACCATGTTTCTAACCTCATAGTAGCAATAGATTTGTGTAGGGGTGACAAAATGTGTCGGCGGGTCGGATTAATGTCGTGTTTAATTTAGGTCGTGCGTCAAACTGTCAAACTCGAACATGATACATTTTTGTTTGCCTGTCAAAAATTGAAAACCGTACACAATCCGTAGTGATGAAGTGATACAAATGGCTGACTATGAAGAGGAGAAGCTATCTACAGTTCTCGTGACAGGGTCAGTTAATTGTGAGGCCAGTTTCCTTAGTGGAAGAAATCAACCCCATTCATGACCTATACCAGGTATTTGAATTTTGAACTAGTACTTACCTTTTAATCGAGTTTGTTTCTTTGTATATATGCTATGCAATCGTTACAGCTGCTATGCGGTTTCTGATTCCCTATGTGTGTTTATTTCATTAAGTAGCAAGCAAATCACTGATCATGAGCTTGCCTGTTTTGTTGAGTAAATTCAACTAAGTAGAGTGCAAACTCAGTTACTTAGGTTAACCAAAGACATCTTTTGACTAAATTCAGACAAAGATTAATGTTCCAAAACTGAAAAATTACAGCTGTTGATGCTACGTTGTTTAATTTGGTGACAGAGAAAAATCTGGCTTTGGCGTTTTGGAAAAATTTCTTGTTTGGATAAGAAGGAAAAACATTGTTTCAAATTTACCAAATCACATTGTTGATTGTAATGCAATGTACATCTTGAATTCCAAAATTCATGAAATTTCATTTACCTTCAAGTATGATTAATCCTAATATTTATGCAGGAGTATTGGTAAGCTACAATCATGCATCCGATAGGACAGGCAAATCAATTGTAGCAAGAGGTGTTACTGATGAATTTGGAGATTTCATTGCCGACATACCTTCCCACCTTCATACCATTCCCAACTTGGAAATGATATGTAGAGTGAAAATTCTTCGGATTCCAAAGGGATCACAGTTCTGGCCAGCTCGTGTCAAGAGACACAAGGGTCTCAGGCTGCTATCATTTCAGAATGACATCCGCACTTACAGTGCCGGAAATATAAGGTTCCAGCTTTCAATATCCATGGCATATGAGACTAAGGGAGTAGTGAATAAGAGATTAGACGCCACGTACATAAGCATACGCGAGTTTAATAATTATTTTAGTAAGTGAACCATAGCTCACTTAGATGGCGCTTTCAGTCACAGCATTGAGTTGCATGGGATTTAAACACCCCCACCCTTCAAAGAATACATAGATATGATCAGTTTGTAAAATATGTGGGTTAAATTTGAGAGTAGCATGAGATAGATATGTGTTCTGTGTAAATACCACTAGCATTTGGTCATCTAGAAATCTAAGAATGATTCCAAAAAAGTTCAACGAATATTATCACACACACGAGATGCTAATGTATATATTTAAGAATTTGGGATGAACCAATTACTTCATATTGTTTAGAATAGGGCATTTCCACATGCAAGATTCACCAGGGAAACCTTAGGGTCTTTATGCATTCTACCAATAATTACCTCAATGAAGCAACCTATAGATCAACTAACATTCATGTTGCAACAAAGCTGACTTAACAGAGATCCATATAGCACAACCACAGGCACTTGAATACCACATCCCAAAGTTAACAGTGAGAAGTCAGGGCTTTTCCACATTTCTCTGGTCAGCTGACTCAGCTCCGGAGGCTATGTATTTTGCAACATCAGCACAACAAGTAAGCTTATCTGCCTTCTCATCAGGGATTTCAACCAAAAATTCTTCTTCAAGGAGTTCCACCCGGTCCAAGCTGTCCAGGTTCAAGTCTTTTTGAAAATCAGCTGTTTCAGTAACCTACAAAATGAAAGTAGAATTATAGTAGTAAAAACAAAGATAATTAAGCAATGTTGTGAATTCTTCATATATGAATAGTGTTAGAGTAGTACAATGTATATAATAGAATAGTCCTATGTCTTGTATATGATAGATTAGTTTCTGTACTTGTTAATATAAATATATTCCTCTCGTGCTCGTATTAGACACATAATTATTCAATCTTAAGTTGGTACCAGAACTCTTTGTTCTAGGAACTTTTGCTTCCGCTAAAACCCTAAATCCACTGCTTAGATGTGCCAAAACCCCAAGCCCACTGCTTAGGTGTTCTCTCCTTCCTTGTCGTGCGTCCTTCTGGCTAGGGGTGTTAACGGGCCGAGCCGAGCCGAGCTTTGGTCTTAAAAGGCTAAGCCTGTGTTTAAATGTGTCAGTCTGACCAAGCCTGTTACTTGTTATAAATATAACTATCGGCCTGTGGCTTGACTTATTTACAAAAAATAAAAGCCTTATTTAGCCTCTTAGCCTGTTTAAAAAAAAAAAAATAACAAAAATTTATCCAAATAGAATATACAATCAACAACATTAGTAATTCAATAGATATTCAAAAATTCAATTTATATCCAAATAATATAATATAGAACAAAATCATTCAAAAAGTTTGTTTAACCAATAAAATAGGGTGAAATGGATTAAGGAGAAAGAGAGGGCTATAAAAAATATAAAATATAAATAAAAAATAATATACTAGGTCAGCCTGAGAGGCTTTAAGGCCGAACCTTTGAATTGAAGCGTAAGACCTTTTTATTAAACGAGCTTTTATACAAGTCCAAGCCTGGTGCCAACAACCAATTTTAGACATATAAGCTCAAGCCTTCACGAGCCGAGCCAAAGGCCCCTGATTTGTTTAGCACCTCTACTTCCGGCAACTGTTAGAAGCATTATTCACTGCTGGAGTCACTGTTCACATCGCCGGAAACACTGTTCACGTTGCCTGAGTTACTGTTCAAAGCCGGAAATACTGTTCTGGCGTCCTTTTTTGGTCATTTTAGGATAGAACTGCTTGGTTTTGTCTCCTCCTTCCAGATCTGCTCTTGGTTCTTCGTGGGACTCTTGTTTGGCGCGTGTTTCTTCTTGTTTGGCTATCGGTTTGGTTTTATTCTGCAAGTTTTTATTGCATTCATAATGGTAGCATCATCTCTTGTTCACTCGAGGTCAATTCTCCTACTCTTCCTGCCAAAAGTTCTTCAGGTATCATCTCCATTAATGTTGGACCCATTACCTCCTCTAAATTGAAGGATTCTATTAACTACAAGAATTGGTCCACCTCTGTTTGCGTCTGATTCTTTGGACAAGGGCATTACAACATCTCACAGTTCAATCTACTACTATTCCTAAGAAAGAAAAATATGATTGGGAAAGGATTGACAACTGGCTTTTGAGTATTCTTTGGCAGTTTATTGATCTAATTATTCTGGACATTTTCTATTTTTTCAGACATGCTATGAAGTGTGGGAAGAAGCTAAAAACCTCTACACTAATGATATTCAGTAGCTTTATTCTATCATCTCTCAATTCATGGATTTGCACAAATCATCCGACATTCAGATGAGACATATGTTGCCAAAAGTCGATCTTTGATGCATGCGTACTTGGATATGTTGCCTTACCCTATTGATGCTTCTGCATATAGGAAACAGGTGGAGCGCCTCTTTATGGTTGCCACTCTTTTTGGTCTTCCCGAGGAGTATGATAGTTTATGTGACACTATCTTGACTAGTGAGGATCTTGATTTATCATTGACTTATCAGCGCCTTCTAAATCTCAACAAGAAACCAGTGTCTGCACCTAATTCATCCTATGTTGTTGATTCCACTGCTCTTGTTTCCTGTACTGACTCTCGTGAGAACAGTGGACGTGGTCGCCGTTGTAGCCAGGGCTAGAGCGGAAGTGGTCAGAGACCTCATTGAAGTTATTCAGCAATTTGGTCCTTATGAGGAGCTTTATTACGCGAAGTATCCTCACCTACGACCCTCTCATGCTGCGAATATAGCTCAGCAGATACTGTTTCATCTGGTTCAATCTCTCTCTCTCTTGCAGACTATGCAGCACTCCAGACTCTTCTCAGGAAAGTTTCTCCTCAGTCTCAGCCTTCTACTCCAACTACTGGTAATCCTGTTCCTTGTGATTCTCATTGGGATGTTGCTGTGAGGATCCTCTGCTACATCAAAAGAGCATCAAGGAAAGGCTTATTATATTCAGATGAGGGACATACAGAAATTTGTGGTTATTCAAATGCCGATTGGGTAGGATCACCCTCGAATAGATGCTCTACTTTAGGTTATTGTATCGTCTTTGGAGGAAACTTGATTTCTTGGAAGAGTAAGAAACTGTTGTTGCCCGATCCAGTGCAGAGGCCAAGTATCGTGCAATGGGAGCTGCTACCTGCAAACTAATCTGGTTAAAGCAGTTGATTCGGGAGCTCCATCTTTGTGAACAGAGCCCATGACACTCATTTGTGACAATCAAGTTGCTCTACATATATCATCTAATCCTGTATTTCATGAGAGAACCAAACATATAGAGATCGATTGTCACTTCATTCGAGAAAAGATTCAGTCAGGAGAAAAGTACATAAACTATTGATGGGCCTTCACTTAAAAGTTTAAGCTTTTGGGTTGATTTGGTTCTTTACATGGTATCAGAGTCTCGGTGTCACGGGTTCGATCCTCACCGCCCCCCACCCCCACTTTCTCTTGTTGAATTTCTTAGTACAGGTAGGTGAGCCTGTGCATTATCCACTCTTCATGTAGGATCTCGTGTGAGGGGGCGTGTTAGAGAAGTATATAAATCATTGATGGGCCTTCATTTAAAAGCTTAAACTTTTGGGTTGATTTGATTCTTTACAAATAGTAAAAACAAAGACATGTATTGTCCAACACTAACTTTAACCATATGAAAATGTAAATCTCATTTTGACCAATAATTTAATACCTTTGAGGCATCGATTTTATCATACTTCTTGGCCAGTGCAATTACTCGATCCAGTATTAGATCAGAGCTGGCAACCGTTGAAAAGCACCAACATCTCAATTGCAGATGCACACTCTTATCCCCAGCCAAAAACCATCTTTCGGTTGACCTCTTCAAATTTACATGAGTCAAGATAGATTTCCTTATGTTTTGCATATTCAAGAAATCTGCAAATATTATAAGCATTATTTCAAAGTTATCCAAGCTGGCTAACTTCAGAACACAAAAGAGATGTCATCACAGAGTGAAAGTGAGGATAATAGAGGACTTTTCCTCCTTTCTCTCATTTTAAAAATGCACTAAAATTTGCTTGCAAATAAAATAATTAGTTGAAGCTAAGGAATTACAAGGAAATCGTATGGCTCATCAAAATCAATCAATACATAATTACAAGGAAAAATAAATTTTACATAAACAAAACTTGACTGTTTGAAAAAAGATTAAAGAAATTTAAGCCATAATCAATGAGTAGTAAGGATCCTAACTAAATATATGACTGGACATGATTAAGACCGGAAAGGTCTAAAATGCAACACCACTACATCTCTTTGTCAAACAAGATATCACTAGTTTACAACATTTACACAAAGCAAGGTGCTTGTCCCTACTTCATTGGCATCAGGAACTATATTAGATTCCATCAAGGTCAAGGAAGATAGGAAACTCTCAAGAATCTCATTAGTCATTACAGAGGTAATTGCAATCAGCATGTCAGTGTTACATCAGCACGTTGAGATTATAAAAAATTTTAGGCATACATCTGAAATGTGATATCATGTTTCCATATAACAAACAAGTTTTTCTCAATACTACTAGTAGTAACAAATAAAAACCAGCTAAATCAGAACAGCTCCTATAGCATCAAATAGTAACAAGATAGCCTAATGCTAGCAACCAGAGAAAAAGCAATTAGTAACTAAGTCTGAAAGTAACAGAATATAAAGAAAGAGGAAGAGACAGAAGTGGACTCTAACGAGATTCGCCGCAGTGTATGGGATTTGGTCAGATATACTGACAAATAAGTCGGTCGGGTAGTGTTTGATATAATGCCTGTTAAAGAATTGAACCAAAACTCAAAAGCGTAGTATTTCTCTTCCTCACAAATTCACTCTTACACTCTTTAACTTAATATACCATATATGTTTTGTTTAATTTTAACAAAAAATAATAATAATATTTTGACTAAAAACTATTTATTGAATATATTTTGAATTATAACAAAGTAGTCAAATCGAAACACACACTTCTATATTTGGATTTGTTTAATTTTTTATGAAAGAAAAAACTTAAAAAGTTATTTTTATTAATATTTTTAATTATAAATTATTTTAAATATAAAATAAGATAATTCAGAGATCAAACTTGCTGAAATTGATCAAACTAACATATTAAAAAATGCAAAGATGACTCATTAGGGATAATCGTAGAAATAATAAAAAGGTAAATTACTTCGTGAAAATACCTTTTACTTATAATATAATCTTTAAATTTAATCATTATAGATGTTAATTTTTAAATTTATAAAATTTATTTCAAGTTAATCTTTCTTAAAATTTAAGGTGAGATATATAAAGAATTAGGTTGATATATTTCGAATTGACTTATTTAGTAATTAAAATAAAAAATCAAATTGTAAATAAAGAATAATTCTAAAGTTGTTATTTTACTCAATTATAAAATTACTTTCAGCTTTCAAGATGAAGAATCTAACCTACATCTAGCCCAATGAAACTTAACTCTTTTAAAAATAAAACAAAAAAATCTTATTTTTTATCTCAGTAATTAAATCTCTATGTATTTAATAACAGTAATTTATTAATGATTAATAATAAAAGAATGGATATAATTTAATAAGTTATAATTGTTGAATATACGAAAATCAACGGTTGAAATAAACATTCTTAATACGTTATTGAGAGTGTTTTATTACGTGGATAGAGATGTCTAGTTGAATTTATGTTAGTCATTTGTGGGCTCTCTCAAGTATTTATGAAGAAGATATCTTCGAATATAAGTATACCACTACAGGTGTCAAAATGGGTTAAAGCCTAAGCATTATATTTGGCCCTAACACATTAGGTTTTTTTTTTTTTTTTTTATGATAGGCCCTTTTTTTAGCTCTAACCCTCAAAGCCCTATAATTTAGCAGGCTGAGTTAGGGTTGGCCCGCGGGCTAAACATTTTCTTTCATCAAAATTTTTATTATTTAAAAAACTTAAAATTATATAAATTTAAATTTTTTTAAATATAAGTAAAAATTGTTGTGAATTTGATAGAGAATATAAGCGAAAGTCAAATATGAAAGAAAGGAAAATGGAATGTAGAAAAAATAATAAAAGAAATAATAAAATAAGAATAAATATGAGCAAATAGTCCTATATAAAGACATATCTTAGATGCATTTTTAAACATGGAAGTCATGAAAAAATAAAGAGTCACATGTTATGAATTATGTGAAAGGTCATTCATAATCTATGTAAAAGGTCATCCACAATCCATATGAAAGGTCATTCATAATCTATGTGAAAGGTCATCTACAATCAATGTGAAAGGTCATCTACAATCCATGTGAAATGTCATACATAATCTATGTGAAAAGTCATCCATAATATTTTACAATACCCCTTTTGAATGTATTCTACAATTCAACACACCATTAGTGTGATGATTATAGAATATATCAAAGGTTATGAAAAATAAAGAGTCACGTGTTATGAACCATGTGAAAGTTCATCCATAATATTTTTATAACACAAATAAATTTTTCAGTAGTGATATGTTTTAACAGAGATTTTCATCTTTGCATCAATAAAAATATGATTTTCTGTTGACATCTAAGCATGTTGTACATCCAAATTTGTATTAAAACATATTGTATACAATACACTTTAGTAATTTTGTGGATAATAATAACTACATTTTTTTGTAACGATAATAGTTAAATAAAATTAATGATTTACTTTCAAATATATAGCATACTAAGAACAGTTATTCAATACTGGTATTAAGATAATTTTTTCATCATTACTTTTTGTTTTTCACTATAATTGTTGTATTCTATTATGTCTCCCATTGAGAAAATCTTTATTTGATAACATCATTTTATAATGAATTTAGTAAAAGTAGTAACTAAATTTTCACTTATATTAAAATTTTGTTTATATTTCACTTGTATATTTATGTACAAATCTTATTTTATTAAAAAAATTAAATTATAAAAAATTTATAATTTATATAAAATATGTTAAGAAAGTGTTAAAAATTTATTTGTTAAAATATTTATTAATGTATTGTGAAGATGATAAAAAAATTTATGAAATTATAAGTTTGGATGGCCCGCAGACTAGCCTTAACCAATAGGGCTTTTGGCTCGTGTGTGCCTTGATTATTGAGGTTCATTGAGCCCTACAGACTTTTTGGCCCTACTCCACATGGACTAGGGCCAAATGGAATAGACTGACCCATTTCGACAGCTCTACATATTATTGTACACAATGAAGTAGCGGTGTAGCTAATGCGTGATGTGAGTGCACAATAACTATCATACATGTAGGGTTTTACTTGTGTATAGTGAAATTTTGGTTTGATAAATATTAGGGAATTTAATCCTTGATCAATTATTATCACGGTAGGATTGATATAATTAAAAAATCTTTCTCTTAACTGTTTATCTTTATTGAGTCTCTTAGAATATTGGCCTATATATCACGCCCATAACAGAGAGATTTTTTATTTTAGATAAAATTAATGATAAAGTATTTAATTACTATTTTTTGTTGTTACTAACTAAATGCTAAGATTCTGAATCAATTTATGCTTAAAATTTCTTTGAGAAAAGTTCATCAATTGCGCTGTTGTTACTTTAGAATCACTTATACTCTTGTGGTTTTTTTCTTATCACATATGTCTCTGTGATTTGTAAAAGGGTATGTTTTTTTATCACATATACCTCTGTTGTTTTTTATTTTTTACAAAGCACATAGTAATATGTAATAGGAAAAAAGTCACAGAGCATAAATGATTCTGAAACAAACCACGTTGGTGAACTTTTCCCAATTTCTTTCGCAACAATACTTTTTTTTTGTAAATATAAAACCTTTCAAGTAACTTGCAACATTGATGAATTTACATAAGATTCAATTATTAAGATTGAGGAAGAAGGAGAGGGAATTACGAAAGTAGTCACAATCAGAAGGAGGAAAAAGGAGGGGTGCGATGCCCAATCCCCATGCCATGATATTAACACTCTCACTCACTCTCACAGTATCACTCTCACTGGTGACATAGTGCCACTGGACGGGAACAAACACAAACACAGCACATTGAAACTTGCGAGTGGAAATTGAGGGAAAGAAACGACCTCGTCAAGAATATGAATATGAATATGATGACGTGACACAACACTCATTGCCCCACCACACCCTTTTCCCATTCCCATTCTTCTGCATCTCATTACTCCCACTTCTTCCTCCTTATAACCTCCAAACTTTCATTTCCTTTTTCTTTCTTCTTTCCCTTTTTTTTTTTAATAAACATATAATAATTTAAAATAATAGCCATTTTTTCTTAGAGCTTAATCTCTCCTCTCAAATGGGCATCTTTTTTTTTTTTTTTCTGCTGATTTGTTTCGGGAATCATATTTGAGTATTTAATATTTTATCAAGTAGGTTCGCTTTCTCTTTCTCTTTCTCATTTTTCTTTTTCCTTTTTTTTCCCCGTTTTTTTATTTTTGTTTTCCATCTCTCTCCCTTCTCTGTATAACGATGGGGAATGTGAATGGGAGAGATGATGTGAACGGTACTCAATCTGGGACTGAAGAAGAAGAAGAAGAAGAAGAAGGTTGTGACAGTGTGAGCGATGGCATGTCTGCACCTGATGGGGTTGGGAACCCTGCACCTTCTGAGTTGATGGGTCAATCTCCTCCTGCTAGCCCTAGAGCAACCCAATCTCCATTAATGTTCGCCCCTCAAGTAAGTTTCCTCCTTTTCTATCTCTTGTATCTTTTTCCTATTATTGGCTAAATGGGTTTTTCCTATTTTCATCTAGATTATAAAAAGTTTGCTTTTTTTTTTTCTTTTTTGTTGGGTGCCCCCCCATTTTGATGAGTGGAGTTTCTAAATTAGTATCGAAAGTCAAACGTGTGATTCACGAAGGTTTTGTTTTGATTGAATGTTATTATGTCTGGGTTCGACGAGTCTTAGCAGCCATGAATGAGGTCAGAGTGCATTCAATTTGGAAGGTGAATTAGTAGGCACAGACTAAATTTCTTTAATTTTCTTGAGATATTTTTTGGGGACTAAAACAACTCCTGGTGCACACTAGCTGTTTGATGCAAGTCCATAAGGTAGATTATGAAGTTCTAAAGCTCTTTTACTTTACAGTTCCATGTTTTCACCTACTCGTTTTTTGGTAGTTGGATCACTGTGACAGAGAGTGGTTTCATATCATGCTGACCTATGACCTATGACTAGGTTTTTCATCAATCAGGATCAGCGTGTATGGGAACCTAATTGAGTGTTGCTGTGATTGGGAAGCAAGTTGCTTACGGTATTGGGATTACTTTAAAGGAACTATATTCGCATCTTCTAGATTCTTTTCCAAGTGAATAATCGACTATCCTAACCCTACCCCTACCCAAGTTGATTGTGGACACTGGAGAGTACTGAATGAGACATCTGGGCTTCACGATATTCTATTGTCAATCATATTATATGTACTATTTAGTCTCTATTAAGCTTGGTAATGAGTTTTTGTTGTATTGTATGTATGTTCTTGGCTGTGGCCTGTTTTTATGTGCTACTTTTGTGGATTCTCTGTTTTCATCAATTGTCAATAATTCCCTTTTTCTTGTGTTTAGGTCCCGGTGGTTCCACTACAAAGGCCTGATGAGATGCATGTTCCAAGCCCTTCCTGGATGCAAACTACTTCAGGGCATGAGGATATGTACAGTGAACTAGGAATTCCAACAATGATTACTTGGAGTTATGATGGGAAAGAAGTAGCTGCGGAGGGCTCATGGGATAATTGGAAAACAAGGTCTGGGATTTAGTGTCTTGTTTATTTGTATTCAAAAAAGGTTGCTATAACTGTTGCTTAGATTCTAACATTCCTTCTTCATCAGAATGCCCTTGCAGAGATCAGGGAAGGACTTCACAATAATGAAGGTACTGCCATCTGGTGTTTACCAGTTTAGATTTATTGTGGATGGACAGTGGAGGTATGCACCTGACTTGCCTTGGGCCCAAGATGATGCTGGGAATGCTTACAACATTCTGGACTTACAGGTATTATTTTGGTGACATATTTTGTATGCAACTTATGGATCACAATTGATAGGTTATGCTGATTATTGCATACTATTCTGAATTTCTGATAATATTTTTTCATGTTGAGAAAAAGTATGATGCTGTCAATAGCTAACTTATTTTTGGGAGTATTAATTTTGCAACACTATTAGGGACTTGTGCACAAAATGAACACTGTATGAGTGTATTGTAAAGGACCTTATTATTTTGCAGCAACTTGGGATATATTTCACTTTTCTCTCCTTTCAGGATGTCGAGCTCTATTTTCTTTTCTTTTTTCTTGATGTTGAAACTTGTTTTTGGTTAAATATACCCTTGCGTTCAATTTTTTTCCTCTGGATGTCTTTTTCGTTTTTCATATATTTCATGCTCTTTTGGCCAAATTTCTCTTCTCTTCTTGCAAGAACTCCGTTTTCAATGCATATCTCCCTAAACAAATTTCAGCTTCACTTTGTGGCTAGGTAGCTTTGTGAGTCTCCTTTGGTTTTTAGATAATCATCCTTAATGTGCATGAATTTGATTTTTATAACAGTTACAGATTAGTTTATTCACTTTTTGGGGGTCATATTATTGCCTTGTAGCTTCATATTTATGAAATTTTCTTAGGTACTCTTGTAAATCATTCATGGTAATCAGTAAACCTTGCAATTCCTAGACAATGGATGTTAAGAATGATGGTAAAATTGATTTCATTGCAATTCCTAAACATAATGTTTTACTGCTAGAAGGCATTGACATCTAATTTGAGGCTAACGATTTTATTTATTATTATGCAGGATTATGTTCCTGAAGACATTGGAAGCATTTCTAGTTTTGAACCTCCTAAATCACCAGACTCTAGTTATAACAACTTACAACTTAGTTCTGAAGATTTTGCAAAGGAACCGCCGTTGGTTCCTCCATTCTTGCAAATGACACTTCTTAATGTTCCTTCAACAAATATGGAAATTCAACCTCTTATATCCAGACCTCAGCATGTACTGCTCAATCATCTTTACATGCAGAAAGGAAAGAGCAGCCCTTCAGTTGTTGCACTTGGTTCAACTCATCGGTTCCTAGCCAAATATGTCACTGTTGTGCTGTACAAGTCTTTGCAGAGGTAAACATAAATGAAATGGACTTTGTAGCCTTTAAAGCCTTTTAGTAGTTAATATAGCCTTTTATTAGTAAACATAAATGTTATAAGTAAGAAATTCTAAGCTTCATAAGGATCACTACATGAAAATCAAGGTTGTGTCACATATAATGCAATTGCTCGATGGTCATTCATCATGCAATTTAGTTCCCAATTCTTACATCATTTGGTGATGCTATTCTCTAGGAATTTTGATTAAGCTACTTAAATAAGAAGGGGAAAGAAAAAGGTAATTTTATGACATTTGTTGGGTTAACATCTCTTGCAGATCAAATCCACCACATTCTCTATATAAGTGTAGTTTTATATTGATACACTTGTATCAATGACTTGTACAACTAAAAAATTAGAGCTAAATATAATTGAGATTAACAGACAAAATTAATAATGTAATTTGCACTAATGTATGGTGTGTGACTTTATTTAACTTTTAATTTTGCGGTTGGATTAATAAAATTCAATATTTATGAAATATTATCCAATAATGGCCAAGTCTTAAACATAGAATATGTGGATCCCATTATGTATCTAACAATTATTTTTCCTAAATATCCAATCTTTTGGGTGTTAGAATGCGTTTTAGAATATTCAGTCTTCTAACAATTATATAAAATTCAATGTTTTAGAATGTGTTTCATCGCAATTCAATTTCATGAGTTTTAGAAAGTAGGTAGATGTTGCTACTGAATATTTCAGAAAATTGAAAGAAGCCCCTGATAACTTCAGTTGTAGTTTTTCAGATTGAATTCTCTCTCCCCGTCCCTCATTGATGTTGTTAGACGGAGTTATGACTATTTGAAACTAATAAACAACACTCTCCTTACAGCTTATTATAACTTGTAAAAATTAATCATATATGGGGGCAACAATCATTTTCCAAGAATAACTTCAAAATTGTTCCAAATGCAATCATATTACCTGATGATCCCGCCTCTCTCTAGAATAGGCGTTGCTGCTTTCTGCTATAGGCACTTTTGAGCTATTATATTGTGCAAGAGGAATTCTATTCCCATTGAAGTGATGAATTTAATTTTACAATATAACAACCATAAGTCTATTCATAAGGAATAAATTTTCTCATGTGAAAAGTAGTCATGTGGTCATGTTATTTGATCATAACTATTCATTTAAAAATTATATAATTTTTTTTCTCTTATCTCATTATCAATGAGTGGCTGTGATCAAATAACATGATCACTTTTTCACATGAAAGGATCTATTCCCCTGTTCATAACTTCTCTGTTTCTTACTTTTCTACCTCAAAAAAGCAGTTCACCCTCGAGCTTTATAAGAATAAAGTGCTCCTGATTCATTCGCCTTGATGTCACCGCAACAGTCTTAACTCTTAAACGTCCCATTATTTCAGAGATTGTATGCATCCTATTTCTTTTGGAATTAGATTCCCTCACACTACTTTGTATGATTCACTTTCTGCAAAACCGATAAAATTTGCAATTATTATGTCTATTTTAGTTTATATTATTAAGGATCAGTCGGATGAGCATTTTTTTTTTTTTAAAAAAAAAAAAAAAAAACTTGCGTTTTTAAGAATGATTTTTAAAAAAAATTAAAAATATTTTATATTTGGATGACATATATATAAAAATAAATAAATAAAAAAGTTATTTAGATTTTAAAATTGATAAGCACTTCTTATGTATAAAAAAACTAAAATGGATAAGTGATGGTAGTGGTGGTAGTGAAGTGATTTGAATGGAGTTGAGGTAAAAAAATATTAAAACTTTAAAAAAAAAAAATTGCTATTCAAACTCGTCAAAATGCTCAAAAAGATTTCATTTTATTTTATTTTTAAAAAAATAACTTTTCTAGAAGGAAAAAAAGCCTATCTAAACACACACTAATTCAATTTCCTTAATTGCAAAACCACAAACGCGACAACTCTTAAAACGTGTCAGAATTAGAAGCCATATTTTGTTCCATTACCAATTAACTACATATCTGTCATGCAGGCATATAAAAAATGAGAAGCTAATATATTGAAGACTTAATTGGCTTGTAAATTCTGTTAATTGCAAGCTATACTTGCAAAGTTTAGGTTGAGGTGGCATTTTCCCAATAAGTTTTATCATAACATGAAGATTTGAAAAAATTCAGTAATACATGTCAGCACACACCAACATAAGTGATTCTGGCCAGAGGCCACCCTTTGGCAAGGAAAAACGTTGAAAACTCATAAACACAAGAAATAAGGCATCCTGCTCCATAGAATGCCAGCTTTGAGGAGTGAGGGATGCTGTGGAAAACCTAAACCCTTAAAATATGGGCAAAAGAAATATCGTTTTAAAGGAAACAAGTTTGTGTCCTTTTAGGTATACTTTCTGTAAATATAAAAAGTTGCTTTTTTTTCTCTCTTCCTGTCACATCGCTGATGTATAAAGTGAAAAAAATAATAATTTTTCAAATTTATCCAAAGTATGACTGAACTTTGTATAAGTCACTGAAAGGATAGAAATTTCTTACAAACACACTAAATCCTTAAAATATTCAGCACTATGTATATTATTCATGACCAGTTCAAACAACATAACACAGAAAAACTGGTTCAGCTACTAAAATACAGAGGTAGAACAAATATCACTGGTTTACATTACAGAGCAGGCATTTGGGTTATCATCGCTGAAAATATGAGGAGCATAAGCGTAGTCAACATAATATCTTGATGGCCAATACTCGCTCCGCTTTATGTCAGTTTTATTATCATCTTCTCCCTTGTTTTCTTCACCTTCTTTTTTCTCTTCCTCTTTCTCTTCCTTTTTCTCCTCTTCTTTCTTCTCTTCTTCTTCTTTCTTTTCTTCGTCCTTCACAATAGAAGCTTTCTTTTTGGTCCTCTTGTACACATAATCTACAAGCTTTCCTGGGTCAACCACACCTTTTACTATGACTTGATCATTTTCCAAGTTTGTTTGCACTGATTCTACTCCTGCACATGTTTATATTATTACACCTTTTATTATCATCTTCTTATGTTCATCACTTCGCAACTAAATCCAATTCGGAGCAGTACGAGATTAATGCTTTAAACCCCTTCCCAGAAGTGATACTGAGGAGATTCGAACACATGCTCTCACTCACCCCACTATCTGCTCAACTCTCATGCGCCAAATGAGTTAACACCATTTAGTAGTGTCTAATTATCTTTTAATATATTTAAGACGCAATTGAAATTAGACCTTTAGAAAAAAAAAGTTGAAAACAAGAATCATTTATATTAAATATTTTGGAAGGAATGGGATTAGTGCCACAAATTATGATTCTCACCGCATGATTAATAAATAAATCAGTATCTGTGGGCTTTGATGCAGGGTGAAAAAAAAACACATAACACACAACTTCCAAAAATGAAAATATAAATAAACATAGTTGTCGTTGTCGTTATGAATTTCAATGCTAAGTTTGAAAAGAATAAGGAAGTAAGATCAATTATATATATATATATATATATATATATATCTATATATATATATATATATATATATATAAAGGGATCTATTAATCTCATGTTGCATGAGATAATTATCTCATGCAACAGAGACAAAGTAGTGGGGTCCACATTTTTTGTTTGTTTTACAAATGGTGAACCCCACTATCTTGTCTTTGTTGCATGAGATAGCAACATAAGATTAATAGATCTCATATATATATATATATGTGTGTGTGTGTGGAATAAGATATTGTGTTTTCTTTTTTTCATGCTTACAATAATTTTTTTTTAAACATCATTAAATCAAAATTTCAATTAATTTTTATATTTTTTCTCTTTTCTTGAGAGTTTCTGATCTAACGGTGTTGGAGAGAAATATGTAATTAAGTATTAAAAAAGGTAAGCATACTATCCTCTCTCTATATATAAAGATTATTTTTTTAAAGGGTAATACTTCTCTTATGTTGTATAAGAGAAGTATTATCTTATGCTCAGACAATAATTAGGAGAGAGAAAAAAGTTGAAGGTGGGAGAAAAAAAATCTTGTGGGACTCATTTGAAAAATGTGAGTGTAAGAGATAAAAAAAAAGGGAAAACTACTCTTATGCAACATAAGAGTAGTTTTATCTCCTACACACTCATCGAAAATCGTGACACTTCTTTTTTTCTTTTTCTTTTTTCTTTAAATGGCGGACCCCACCATATGTATCTCTACAACATGAGAGAAGATCTCTCATGTAACATAAGATTAAATGAACCAAAAAAAAAAATTATGTAACATAAGAAAAGTAATTTCCTTTTTTAAATTATGTGGGGTGCAAGATTTAAAACTTGTTTGTTGTGCGTGCACGAGTGAGGGGAGACAGTTCACAAGAGCAATGAATATGAAGTAAGGGAGAAGCCGAGAAGGTGAATATTGTACCTTGAATCTTACGGATTCGCTTCCGTATACCTCGAGCACATGCTTCACAATGCATTTGAACTTTGAGAACTACTGTTACCACAGGAGGGGACTGACAAAAACAATTGAAACAACCATGAGACAGGAATCCAATTATCATCATACAAGATCTATTGAACAAACATAAAAATATCATTGTTTAGCTATAATTAACACATATAAATCTTACGTGCATATTGGGTAACTGTTGATTGGTTCATTTTTTTTTTGGAAATTAACTGTTGATTGGTTCATGAGTTAGAGTAATTTCACCTTTCAATTCCTTGTAACCTCCAAAAAAAAAAAAAAAAAAAAGAGTAATTTCACCTTAATTTATTTCATTTTAATATTTCATATAGGAGGGTGCAGATTTTTCATAAAGTATTGACACCAGTTTTGGGTTGTGACAACCCATTTAAGTGGCAAAATAAATAAAGAGGCCTCTAACTGAAGAACATCTTTCAATACTACCGTTGTACTGACCACCGGGTACGGTAGTTTAAAATGAAATTACAAATTATATATTATGAAAAATATATAATTATAATATAAAACAAAAAAAATTCTCCCCTTCAAGAAATATATAGCTAATGTGTTATGCTCCTATTGATAGGATGTACATATGACGGTAGTATATTAGATTTTTTCCTCTTAGTGATCCTACTATTTTCTACTGTCAATTCAGATATGGGCCATGGTGGGTTTCGAATTGTACACTAAAAGCCAAGGAGCAAAGATTACAATCTCCATCTGAAAACCAGTTAGCAGAGGGGCAGTCTCCGAGAGCTACTTTACCCTGATGATCTCATTCAATGCATTATGGAAAGCAGCTGTTGTTTTAACCTCCCCAAGTACCCACATCACATGGTTATGTTTATATGAAATGTGCATCATGTATATAGACATATACTGTTATCAACTACCAAGTTTACAGGGTGGTCACTGTAAAACCAATAGGGTATACATATATATATGTAACGAGCCCGTGACTGTGACCCCATTTTGCTGCAAGCTACACGTCAAGTTGCAAAAGGGAGTGGGGTCAAACCCTCTTAATTGTCACCGCCTTAGTCCTCGTTACATGTGCATTATTGGAGGGGGATATCATTTTGCTAACTTTGTTTCGTTACTTTCATGCCAGCATCCATCCACCGTGGAAACAACAGGATCAATAAAACCAAAAGAGAAAGACTATGGAAACTGTAGTACAAGTATTTCACTGTGTAAGGTAAAAAAAAAGAAAAAAATTACTGGGTTTGAAGTTTTGCATGCAATGTTTCAAGCAGTTATTAGAAGGATTCGGAGTCAGGAAGGGGTAGGAGGGGCAATAGCCTCATCAAATTTATCAAACTTTTATCTTATATTATATTTAGACTTAAAAAAAAAAGTAGTATAATTTAAGATAGTTTCCTCTTCGTTCTTATTATTTCTCATATACCAAGAAAATTTAAAGAATTCTTTAAACCTGAATACATATCAACCCACTATTGTGTTATCTTTACTAAGTTGGTGTGAATTTTGGATTTCACGCACCCTCACAAAATTTTCTGCCTCCTCCGTTATTTCTCATGAGAATGATTTACTACAACATTTTTGTCATGCTTAAACTCTATGAGTCTGATTTACCTCCTCCTTTTTCTCCTCTGGTTGCGGTTCTTTTGTTTCTTCTTTTTTCTCCTCTTGAGGTTTTGGCAAAGGTGAAATAAGCTCCACTTTCTTACCACTTTTCTTTTGTAGCCTCTCACGCACCTTTATGGGGTCTGCTGCCTTTCCTTTCACCACTACTTTGCTAGCCTTGCTATCTGCAGTTACCTCCTCCACTCCTGTTTCACAAAAAGATTAGAAAGGATATTTTCTTAATAATACTTTATTGTTAATCTTTTCCACCACCTAAACCTTTTATCTTCGCTAAACATAATGAATTTTTGTCTCTATTTGAAATGAACATGTGTAAACTTATTTGTAAAAGTTGAGAATCACATATACCTGACCTGACAAATTATTTCATTATGTATGTTGTGAAATTCAAAATCAATCATGGATAGAAGATCCCTTTTAACAAGAAAAGAAAGAGGAAAAGAGAATAAAAGCACCAGCTGACACAAAAATGGTCTATTCAGAAAATGTCTTTAAGAGCATGAAATTGAAGAACAATGACCTTCAAATCGTTTCAGTGCTTTTGCAGCTTTCCTTGCACAGGCTGCACAATGCATGTCAACCTTGAGTACTATCTCTGGTGACTCTTCATCCTTCTTTTCATCCTTTTTCTCTTCTTCCTTCTTTTTCTCGGTGGTTTCTTCATTCTTTCCTTCTTCCTTGTTCTCCTTTAACAGCAAACACAACATTTAAATGCATCCAGCAAAGATAATACCCACAAAGAAGACACGAGAAAAGATTATAGATTAGAGACATGAACCTAGTCTGAGTCTAGCTAGTTTTCAAAGCAAAAGTTGTCAATAACAGGAAACAGATATTGATTAAGAATAAATTTATAGACAAGAATTTGTGTAAGAGAACTCTTACATCACCCATTTCTGTGATAATAGAGAATGGCTTCTGCTTCAGAAATTTTACATGGAATAATAACACATCGTATAATATATATTGGAACTAGCAATTCATGCTGCCTTTTGTATTCTCTCTCTTCCCTGTCTTTGTCTGTGGGAGCAATGTTAATTAGGAGGCTGAAAAAGAACATTTATGTAACGTGGCTGAGGTGGACCGTTTAATGCAAAATAGATATACGTTGTACCATGTCTGTGTTGGCATCTCCAAAACCACCCTTCATTTTGTGTGTTATTAATGACCTATAATTGTAGGCCGTAACATAGATACTATTTCCCCTAATATTATTGACTTGAATGGCAAGAAACTCTGTTTTCATTATTGGGTTTGAATTTGGTGAAGAGGAAAAATAAGCACTAGGATGGTCTCGTCCATAAGTGTTCTACCTAATTAAGGGCATAATGTTCAAATAGCCACTTAGTCCAAGTATAAAGTAGCTTTTTGAAAACCAAATCGTTTGTTACCAAAGAAAGCGATTTGAATTAAAAATGCTAATAATGTTATAAATAATTTATTGGCTGTTCATATCTGTTATATGATCGTTGGAGACGTTATGGTCGTTGAAGACGTCATGACCATGACCGTTTGAGATGTTATGACTGTTGGAGACGTTATGACCGTTGAAGAATAATTGCAGTTATTGTAACTTTCATGTTTTCTGAGCCTATAAATAACGTATGTATAAAGCATCAATTGAGTATGACAATACAACCAGAATACATTCTCCTATCTCTGTATTCTTCTTGCAATTATCAGTAATTTTATAACACCTATCAGCACGAATCTCTACCCAAAAAAGAGAATTGCAATCCGGAAATGATCTTTTGTAAATTGTTGGGGCAGCTCCACCTACTGCTTCATCGGTGTCGCCGCCATCAGGTAAGAAGCCTCTCAATATGCCCCAAAATTATTTTCCCTCAATATTGCAGTATCGTTCTTCATTATTAACATGTCATCCCATTTTCGTATTGCAGTCACGAAAGGTATGAGTCATAAAGCATTACTGTTTTAAGCATCTATTATTTGCCTTCTCTAATTTATTTATTTGTTAATTTTTATCTGTCAACGATATATGTGTAAAATTAAACACTCATGTCTTATATACGATAACAAGTATAGGAATGAGATCTATTACTCAATCAAATCAAACTTAATTTAGGGAAATAATATTCACCAATATATTGAGAAAATTTTAACAATATCCTCCATAAATGAAAAATAATTTTGTATATTTGTTGTCACGCCGATTTTTAATATTATGTTGATTGTATATATAGCGACAAAACTATATGCATTGTGGACCTCGTGCAAGAATTAGAATAGTGAAAATTCTACATTATAAAATTTGTGTGCAAATATCCGAAACCTTAAAATAATATTGAAACCCCAAGCTTAAAACAATACAAATTATGTCAATGGCGTATCAAAAAGCAATTATAATTGCAAGTCACTGTGTTTATTTTATGGGCAATGTGCTTAGAATTAGAAGTTGGTGGCGTCATGACCCCACAAACCCTATTGATTTTGAGATACAACGTGAACGGGAGGGACTGTGCAGTTCGAGTCCCAGCTTGAGGACATTGACTCGGGAGTTCTATGCTAATGCTTAAGCCAAAAAGCTGATATTGCCAATCGAGAGTATATGACCTCTTGCGGGGCAAGCGTGTTTTTCCTATGATGCCCATTCACTGCAAAAGGTCCTTAAGACCGGGTTTCATGGCACCATGCATTGCGTTATTAGGGCTTAGTGCAAGTTTTCGGGCTCTTATTATCTAATGAGAGGGCACAGGCAGTTGGTGACCTACTTAGGTATATTTTGGAGGTAATCGTTGTACCTGAAAAAATGTGGAAGAGGACTGATGGCACAGAGTGGCATGGGACTGAAGACGAGACTTTGCCCCATCGCATTTTCTATGGTGATTTAATTTCAGTGGCGAAGTTTTGGTAGACGTCCAGCGTATATATTTTGCTATCCTTTACACATCATCATGATGTAACATTCCGCGGGCTGCACTTCTCTGCCCTATCATGGAAAGAGAGGATATTGACATTTGCACCTTGCTGGCTGATTCACTTTATAAGACAGTTCATATGCGTTCATCACGCGCCGCCTTAGACCATAGTTCTTTGATCCAGGCTTTATATATGAGAGTGGGGTGATTGGCCCAGTGAACAACGAGACGATCAGCCAGCGGGTTACTATTGATATTGATTCTTACTTACCTCTCTTGCCACGAGTAAAGGATGACCTATATGCCAGAGGGAATGCTGTTGGTGCCCGTTGACCAGCTAAAGGTAAATTTTTTTTCCTTTTTCCTCTTCTTTCTTTGGTTGTTCTTCTTGGAAAAAAAATTTCGACGTATCCGTGCTTCATGCATACACCATGGTTCTGATATTAATGGCTTTCTGATTCATTCATACAAATATTGATGTTAGCATATTGATTTGCACTAGATTATGGTTTGTGTCTGACTTGATTATTGGATTAATGTGCTGATTATTTTTTTTTCAAAAAATTTCAAAAACGCAAATCTGGGAATGATTTGTGCTCTTCATTTCTTATCTTATCACTGATTTGAGAAATTTTCTTATTTTTAGGATGGCACCTAATATGAGAGTCACGAGGAAGCATGCTAGAGCTTCCCCCAGCGGGACATCACCTACTGAGGAGCTATTCCTCAGCACTGAGCATCATAAGAGATTTGTGTCCTGCTTAGCACGCAAGTTATACATGAGAAGTTGGTGTAGTCATGACCCCACCAACCCTATTGATTCTGAGATACAATGCGAATAGGAGGGACTGTTCAGTTCAGGTCCCAGCTTGAGGACATTGACTCTGGAGTTCTATGCTAATGCATGGACACAAAAAGCTGATAATGCCCATCGAGAGAATATGACCTCTGTGCGGGGCAAGCATTTTTCCTATGATTCCCAGTCACTGCATAGGGTCCTTAAGACCAGGTTTTTTAGCACCATGCGTTGTCGCTATCAGGCCCTAGTGTAGGATTTCGGGCTCCCATTATCTTATGAAAGGGTACAAGCAGTTGATGACCTACTTAAGCGTATTTTTGAGGAGACTGCCATATCTGGCACAAAGTGAAAGAGGACTGATGGCACAGAGTGGCATGAGACTGAAGACGAGAATTTGCCCCATAGCATTTTCTATGGTGATTTACTTCTAGTGTTGAAGTTTTGGTATACATCTAGCGTATATATTTTGCTTTCCCAGCTTGAGGACATTGACTCTGGAGTTCTATGCCAATGCATGGACCCAAAAAGCTGATAATGCTCATCGAGAGTATATGACCTATGTGCGGGGCAAGCGTATTTCCTATGATTCCCAGTCACTGCATAGGATCCTTAAGACCAGGTTTCTTGGCACCATGCGTTGTCGCTATCAAGCACTAGTGTAGGATTTCGGGCTCCTATTATCTGATGAAAGGGTACAGGCAGTTGATGACCTACTTAGGCATATTTTTGAGGAGACCGCCATATCTGGAACAAAGTGGAAGAGGACTGATGGCACAGAGTGGCATGAGACTAAAGACGAGACTTTGCCCTATCGCATTTTCTATGGTGATTTACTTCTAGTGTTGTAGTTTTGGTATACATCTAGCGTATATATTTTACTTTCCTCTATACAAATCTCAAAATGGCACCTAGGATGAGAGTCACGAAGAAACGTGTTAGAGCTTCCTCGAGCTGGACAACACCTACAGATGAGTTATTTCTCAGCACTGAACATCATGAGAGATTTGTGTCTGAGCACGCAAGTTATACAGGAAAAGTTGATGATGTCATCACCCCACCAACCCTTTGATTCTGAGATACAACGCGAATGGGAGGGCCTGCGCAGTTCGGGTCCCAGCTTGAGGACATTGACTCTTAAGTTCTATGCTAATGCATGGACCCAAAAAGCTGATAATGCCCATCGAGAGTATATGACCTCTGTGCGGGGCAAGCATTTTTCCTATGATGCCCAGTTACTGCATAGGGTCCTTAAGACCAGGTTTTATGGAACCATGTGTTGTCGCTATCAGGCCCTAGTGCAGGATTTCGGGCTCCCATTATCTGATGAGAGGGTACAAGATGTTGGTGACCTATTTAGGTGTATTTTGGAGAAGACCACCATATCTGGCACAAAGTGGAAGAGGACGGATGCCACAGAGTGGCATAGGACTGTAGATGAGACTTTGCCCCATCGCATTTTCTATGGTTATTTACTTCTAGTGCTGAAGTTTTGGTATACATGCAGCGTATATATTTTGCTTTCCTCTAAACAAATCTTAGGATGGCACCAAGGATGAGAGTCACGAGGAAACGTGCTAGAGCTTCCTCCAGCTGGACAGCACCTACTGAGGAGTTATTCCTCAGCACTGAGCATCATGAGAGATTTATGTCTGAGCACGCAAGTTATACAGGAGAAGTTGGCGGTGTCATGACCTAACCAACCTATTAATTCAGAGATACAACGGGGATGGGAGGGACTGTGCAGTTCGGGTCCCAGCTTGAGGACATTGACTCTGGAGTTTTATGCTAATGCATGGACCCAAAAAGTTGATATTTCCCGTTGATAATATATAACCTCTGTGTGGGGCAAGCATTTTTTCTATGATGCCCAATCACTGCAAAGAGTCCTTAAGACCAGATTTCTTGGCACCATGCGTTGTCGCTATCAGGTCCTAGTGCAGGATTTTAGGCTCCCATTATCTAATGACAAGGTACAAGCAGTTGGTGACCTACTTAGGCGTATTTTGGAGGAGACCGCCATATCTGGCAGAAAATGGAAGAGGACTGATGGCACAGAGTGGCATGGGATTGAAGATGATACTTTGCCACATCGCATTTTCTACGGTTATTTACTTCCAGCGGCGAAGTTTTGGTGTACGTCCAGCATATATATTTTTCTTTCCTCTACACAAATCTCAGGATGACACCTAGGATGAGAGTCACGAGGAAGCGTGCTCGAGCTTCCTCTAGCAGG